CGAAGTCTTTTCTACCTTCATACTTTGGATTTTTCCCTAAAGGCGCTATTAATGTTTGTAAAATTTTCCTTTTAGATTTTTGGCCTTCAGTGGCAGGCAAATTGACAATTAAATGATAAAATATATCGTTGATAAACAATGCCAACTCATAGCATTTATTGTTTTCCACGTTTAGAGTTTTAAATTTGAATTTCTATCCTATTATACTCTTTACTTATTATATCCTGATTTTAAATTTTAAGGATAATTTAATAAATTAAAAATTGTTTGAAAAAAATTAGGTACTTATAAGAGTTAAACAAGTAGGTGCTATTTAAATATTTAAAAAATATATATAACACTCAACTGTGTTGTCCCATGTAGGCATTTATAATTAATCTGACAATATTGCAATATCTCTCCCTTTTATGGTAAAAGTAAATAAAAATATTTTCAATCACGTATAAACTGTTGTAAATGGGACAAGTTTATAGTAATTATTTTCTTTTCGATTATTAGTAGGATAAACATTTAGGTGTTGAAATAAAAGTTTATTGCTTAAGCTGACGGTTCCTCCTCTTGATTATGCTTAGCAAGTGCCAAAAGGATCATCGTCAATTCTTTTCTGTTTATTTTACCATCGTCATTGTAGTCCACTCCTCTCAGAATAGTTTCTTCAAAATCCAAAAGGTCTTGAGCGTCATAATCCTACAAAATAATTGCTTCAGTTTGAATAACACTCTTTTGTTACGTTCTTTCCGAACCTTCTTAACCAATTCAAGCAAATCTTTCAGAAATCCTCTTAATTCCTCATTTTCTATCGTCCCGTTGTTATCCTGTGAGATAAGAAATATATACTTACGAATAAGACTGCGTATTACCACAGAGAAATTAAAAATTTACTAAAAATACAAATTTATTATTTTTCTAAAATATAGAATTAATAATTATTGTAGATAGAAGTAGAAATCAAAAGAAAGGAAGATAACTAACTATAACCAGTGCGTAAATGGAAGAATACAACTTCTAACTCAAGAATATATATATATACATGTATCCCTTTTATTTTAATCTTCTAATAATTACCCTGTCATAAAGGGCAAAAACCCTTTCGATGTCGTCTTTGGTAAGTTTCGTTGCTCCCTGAAAAAAATTGAATAAACATTAGTTAAAAATTCATGAACGGAACATAAACATTAAAATGAAAAATATAACAATTTGGATATTGAAGGAATATTGTACTTTACAACAAGGACATGCAGTAGAATGAAAGCAGGCAAAAAGAAAAACGGTGCGACAAAGCTCATGTTGCTTTCCATCCCTAAAGAAAGCAAAAAAACGTCTCAATATAGATGTAGATGTACCTAGGCAAATTATATCATTACCTATTTTATTTTTATTTCTATCATTTAGTTCACTGTGAAACTTTAAGACAAATGTTTCTTTCGAATTCTTTGACGCCTTATGGACGGAAAGGAAAAGATATAAATTTTCATTTAGTGAAAAGTGTTTACAGACACTTTGATTGTTCCTAGAGCGTTTGTCGATTATTATTATTATTAGATATACCGTATGCGAAAATATCTATTTTGACATTGAGCTGTAATACGCCACCCACGTCGAAAGCAGTAAGGGCGGCACAACATGCATACTGACTGGGTGATGTTAACCAAGTTAAAGGTTCACTTTTTCGCAATCGGTATAACTATGTGTATTTTTAAATGCTTGCTCGCAATGGTTACTCGCTCATCAGTTCAAAATAGTTTATTGTTAATAGAATATTTATAAAAATGGTCTCGACTGTTTTTCGAGGACGAAAGCATATTGGGACTACTTTAAAATGAACTCACTCTTTTCATATTTAATTTAAGAAAACAGCACAGTGAGTGTTCGGCTGCAGAAAAGGCCTCTAAAGCACGTGCGAACACCTTGTATATTAAATGATGTATTATACAACGCTAATCGAGAAATGCTGCAGGTGCTTCACTATTCACTCACGACCAGCTCAATTAGTTATCATAACAAGTTTAAATTGTACTTACTTCAAATCCTTCCTAAGGTTCAAGCAACAAATAAAGCCGTGCAATAATTAATTAGAAATGGTATTTTTAGCACAAGTTTAGTATTTGGGTCGAGTTTTTAGTTTGTAGTGTTTAATGGGTTGCATGGAGCTAGCCAAACTTTGGAAACTTAACATTTACAAACTTTGCTGATACTTAAACTCATCTAACAGTTAATATATTCGATGTTTAATAAGTTTAATCCTTTGGATTACTTAATTATTGTAAGCATGGCTATATTAACGTGTTCTTCGTCAATTTCAGCAGTATCTTGTAGAAAAATTAATGGGCATTAAAAAATAAAATAGAATTTTGATTTAATACACAGTGATGAAGTTGAAGCATTGCTAAAACTGATTAATCAATCAGGAATGGTATATCTCTTCTGTCGTATCTACATTAATTATGAGAGTTTCAGAAGTTTAGCTAGCGCCACTGAACTTTATTGTTGCGCATAGTTTTAATCTATTGCTAAATAAGTGCAACAGTGGCCAAAAGTGCATCAGAGATCAGGGGAAGTAATATAAATTACGAGCAAATGTCAGACATTACAACTTCTACGATAGCAGAGAGAGACAGATTTATTTGCTTTATCGACTTTTACATAAGAGAAGATCTATGTAAAGTGTTAAGAAAAGTGTGCAAAATGCATAACCCTTAGATGGGCCATATAGAATTGGTATGAAAAGAACGATATCATTTTATCGTCTACTACTTTGTATTTAATTAGGTTCACACACGTGAAGTAAAATCAGAAGAGAATTATACATTGCAATTTTAAATCTTTATATGATTAGAAAATACTACAAAGGCGTGGTAAACGCCATCTGTAGTACGATGCTACATTTTAGGATTACGTATGCTCCAACAAAGTCCATTT